AAACTGAATACAAGGCATTTTTATACTCGGAGAATACAAGGATAATCGAGATAAAACGAACCTTCGGGAACACGCCCTTCCCGATACTATAATCACAAGTGCGCACAAGCACGCAAGGCTATTGGCACTTGGGATTACGCCCAGATTACACCGTATACACTACTGTCGGCGCTGTCGGTGCCGTATAATAGGTATGTCGGTGGGAAAAGTAGGAAATAAGAGAAATAAATAGAAGGCTCTAGAAAATAGAATAGTAGGCCGATTGAGATGAGATAAAGACCAAAATAAAGAGGAGAAAAGAGAGAATAGGATAACGGAAAAATATAATAGTGAGAAAATAATATAACGGGGACGTCCTCTCACAAGTGCGGTCACCAGTGCGAATGACGTACGTGCAGCTAAAGCCACCCCCCCCCCCCCCCCCCCCATGCTGAGAGTACCACTCACGGACCTCCTGGGGCGACGGAGTGTGCTGCTGGCTCTGGCCACCGCCAGTGCCTCCACGACCACCACCGCCGCCGCCACCTCCTTGACCACCCCAACCCCTGCCGCCGCCGCGTCCACCGCCACCCCCATCATCGCCTCCGCCCCTGCCACCTCCCCCGCCGCTGCCGCCACCACCCCCACCTCTGCCACTAGCCCCTCCAGTCGCGCCACCATCCCCACCGCCGCCACCGCCCCCACCACCGCCTCCCCCGCTGTCACCGCTGACAAAATTAGAAGAAGAAAGAGGAATGAACTAGCAGAAATGGGGATACAAATAGCAAACCCTAGAAGGGTTGTACTCGCTATAGAGCACCCCACTACAGGCTAGAACATAAGAATGATATTCTGACACACCCCCATAGCCAAAGTGGGGTGTAATCAGCAGAGCAGGCAAAGCAAAACAAGCTCAGGGTGGATCACAATGTCACCACACATTCTGAGCACAAGTTCAAGAAGAAATAGTTTAGAGTTCACAATTATAAGCAAAGCTAGTGGTAGTCACAACGGGCAAGTGAGGAGGAGGAGGGAGAGTGAGGGGAGAGGAGACAGGAGGCGACGGCTGAAGCTGCAGACACACGGGCAACAGGAGGCAGACTGGCACAGCGGCTACCGGACAGCGCCCGGACTACAGGAGTAACAGGCCCCGCGGCTCAAATAGCGGCGGACGGGCAACGGACCCACGGGCGGCTGGCACAGCTGGCTACGACTGGGCTACCGGGACAGCGCCCCGGACTACAGGTGCTGCGAACGACAAACTGACAACCTCCACTCAACCTCTCGCACACAGTCCCACCCCCCTGATACACACCCACTGCTACACCGCTAGCTCTACTCCCACGCACCCCCCTTAAACCCTAAACCCGAGTCTCCCACACAACCACCCCCCTCAGCGACAGCTGCAGCAGTGGGAGACGGAGGAGGAGGAGGAGCAAAGGGAGGAAGGCACACCGAGCACCCCCATACCCGCGACGGGCGACGGGAAATGGGGGGGAGGGGAGAAAAGGGGGGGGGGGGGGGGGGGGGGGGGGCGGTGCCGCGACGAGGGGCGGGGCCGCGACGGTCGGGGCGGGGCCGCGACATAGGGCGGGGCCGCAAAGGTAGGGCGGGGCCGAGCCGGGCAGGCGCACGGGCGGCGACGGGCCGGGGCGGGGCCGCGACGAAGGGCGGGGCCGAGCCGGGCAGGCGCACGGGCGGCGACGGGCCGGGGCGGGGCCGCGACGTAGAGCGGGGCCGCGTCGAGGGGCGGGGCCGCGACGATCGGGGCGGGGCCGCGACGTAGGGGAGAAGCCCGCCGCGCGCCCCGGGGCGCACAGCGGGCAATGAACCGCCGCGCGCCTCGGGGTGCACGGCGGGCAGAAAACCGCCGCGCGCCTCGGGGCGCACGGCGGGATGAAAAAATGCCGCACGCCACGGGGCGTGCGGCTCAGAGAGTAGTAGCAGTAGTAGCAGCGGAAGCTAAGCGGTGGTAAGCCCACCCACAGGATCGATCCAGGGGGATCGACCTGCTCTGATAGCATGACAAAATTAGAAGAAGAAAGAGGAATGAACTAGCAGAAATGGGGATACAAATAGCAAACCCTAGAAGGGTTGTACTCGCTATAGAGCACCCCACTACAGGCTAGAACATAAGAATGATATTCTGACAACCGCCACCGCCCTTGCCCCCTTTGCCCTTGCCGCTGCGGCGCCCGCTCGAAGCAGACGCAGTCCCGACCTTCTCAGCACCAAGGAGGTCGACAGCAGCAGCAGAGGCGATAGAGGGAAGAAGGGGGGAAGGAGAACACCCCTCAAAGAACGGGGTACGGGGGTCGCCACGAGAGGCACCTACAGCGACTATGCTAGTCTCAGCTGCAAGGAGTTCCTTCTCGAGGAGGGCAATGGTGAGCTCAGTGGGGCAGCGAGCTAGGAAGTGGTCCCTGACTGAGCGCAGAGTGTCAGGGAGGCGGGTGACTAGGTGGTAGAGAGTGAGCCAGAGTGGGGGTGGGTTCTTGGCAAGGAACTCATCAGGCATGGCGGCGCGGAAGCGAGCCTCACTAGTGCGGAGGTGCGTAATGAGGTCAGCGACAGTGTGGAAAGAGGCTAAGTCGGGGAACAGGTAGGGAAGAGAGAGACGGCCTAGTGCGGCAGGGGCCGGTGAGGAGTAGCGGGCAACGACAGCAGTGTACAGTGCCTGTGCAGTCTTGTGCTGCCCAAAGTGCTCGCACTCATCTATCGGCAGGGAGTTGCGAATAGCGAAGCGAGCGTGGGCGTCACGAGTCTGCCACTGTGAGCAGGCAGTGCTGTCAGCAGTAGCAGCAGGAGCAGGAGCATGGCCTAGGGCGTGATCGTACAGTGAGATGTCCTCCTTGGCAGTGAGCTGTAGGAAGAGGTGTAGGTCATCTAGCCAGGTTTCGAACTTCACTAGGCGGCCCTCAGCATCGAAAGCCAGCACAGGAGGGCTAGCCATAGCAGTAGTAGGAGTAATAGCAGTAGGGGCACCCCAAAAACAGTAGGCAGTGCGACTCAGGTAGGGCGGCTCGGTCCAGTACGGGCGGCGCGGCTCGGTTCAGGTAGGGCGGCGCGGCTCGGTTTGGGCTGGGCGGCTCGGTTCGGGCGGCTCGGTTCGGGGGGCTCGGTTCGGGCTGGGCGGCTCGGTTCGGGCTGCTCGGGTCGGGCGGCTCGTTCTGGGGGGGCCGTTCGGGGCCTCTAGGGGCGAGCGCGGGGCCGTAAGGGGCCGCTAAGGGCGAGCGCGGGGCCGATCGGGGCCTCTAGGGGCGAGCGCGGGGCCGTAAGGGGCCGCTAAGGGCGAGCGCGGGGCCGTTCGGGGCCTCTAGGGGCGAGCGCGGGGCCGTAAGGGGCCGCTAAGGGCGAGCGCGGGGCCGTTCGGGGCCTCTAGGGGCGAGCGCGGGGCCGTAAGGGGCCGCTAAGGGCGAGCGCGGGGCCGACGGGGGCCTCTAGGGAGGTGAGCGCGGGGCCGACGGGGCCGTTAGGGGCGATCGCGGGGCCGACAGGGTCGCTAAGGGGCGAGCGCGGGGCCGTAAGGGGCGAGCGCGTGGGCCGACGGGGCCTTCTGGGGCGGTGCGCGAGTCGCTAAGAGGCGGGTCGCGGGTCGCGGGGCCTTAGGGGGCCGTGAAAAACGAGGTGCCCTAGGGCGCAGTTAGGTAGGTAGGTAGGTAGGTAGGTAGTGGTGGGCCCTAAAAAAAACGGTCCTAGCGAAGGACCTGCTCTATACCATGTTGAAATGAACGAACATGAATGATTGGACTAACAGTGAAATCAGTACAAGTACCTAACCCTTGAATTATGTACCCCCTATAGGCTAACCCACTGTAGCCTAAACAAGCACAACATATATAATGTTTGACAAAATGCAGCTGCCTGACAGCGCATGAAAGCCTGATTGGGCCGCAAGGCAACTTTCACGTCAGCGCTGGCAGGTGCGCTGCTCCTGGATGGGATTTGTGCGGTCGGGAATCGAAGCGCAGTAGTTTTCGGCGGGATTACATGCATTATCCTACGCGCACGTTACTCAATTGTGTTCGCCTTATTGCGGGCTCCGATTTGGTGCATAAAAATAACAAATTCATTTTTGCCATGATATAAGCGCCGGCGCTTATGGCCGTTATTCAATTACAAGCGCCACCCCTAAAAAAAATGATTTTATTATAGGCGCATATGCGCCTACATCCGGGGTAATACGGTAACAAGCGATGGGCGACAAGTGACTGGTGACGGGCAACGACACGACAGAAATTCCCTTGCCATTCCCATCATGCTGCTGTGAGGTTCCAGTTTGTAGGTTCTGCCGTTAGTCGCCGTCTGCCACTTCGCCATGGCCAGAAGGTCGCGACAGCCTGGCGCTGTCGCGTTGCCGGCACGTTGAGACGAAGCCGATGTGACCGCATCTGGCGCGTCTCGCGCCGTTGATGTACGGTCCAGAACGGGTGGCGGACTGCAGACGGGTCGGGAAGGCACAGAAGCGGAACCGCCATGTTCTGTCTGACGGCGAAGGCGACAGGGCACGATGCGGCGTTTAACGCGTCTGGATCATAAACAGACGGAATCGACAGCGCGTCTCCTGTCTCGCGTCAGCGTCGTGTGACCGTAGATTCATGGTTACGCGCGATTGTCGCGTTCGGAACGAACGCAAGTCAATCCAAGTCAGCACGCTTGGGTCGTCGCAGGGGACGGCGAGAAACGACACCGATGGGTGCGACTCGCCCTGTGTTCAGGAGACACCTATACGAGACCCATGCGACAGTCCTGCGACATCCATACGACAGCCAGGTCACGCCACGCGCATCATAGTAGGACCACGCGGCTTTCACTGATGCCGACTCGACGCGGTCGTTCCCAGTGCGACTCGACACCTTCGTCTCACCATAAAGCCCTTCTTCCAGTTTCCAATCCGTCAACCACACCTTCACGGCCCTTACTCGCCGATAAACCTTTGATTGGACTCAAAAGTAACCATACGCACCTGCGATCAGCACGGCCGTCTCAACCTGCTCGCAGCACCCTCTTCCGTCATCACGATGGCTCCCACCCGAGCTTGCGCTCTCCGTCACCGGCTCTTCCGTGAGCCACCAGCACCTCATGCCTTCGCAGCCGCCGTCCTTGCCGTTGCTCTCCTCGCCGCCGTTGCTCTCCTCGCCGTTGCTCTCCTCGCCGCCGCCGCCGCCCCCGGTGTGACTGTACAGGGCGCGCCGTTAGCGGGGACGGCGTGCGTGAACGAGTTTCCCACGAAGCCGCTGTGCAGGTTCGTGGATGACCTGGCGGCCGCGCCGCGCGTGGAGGTGGACGCGTCCACGGGGAGGACGATCCGCATCGGCGCGTATCAGATCTACCAGGCGAGTCGAACTTGAAGAGCGCGTACTGCAACGGTGGGCGAAAGAGAGAGTGAGTAGCGCTGATTGTGGGGTGCCTTCCTCACTGGCTGGCCTCTTGTCGTTCTCTCACTCCCCGCACTCTCTCATTTAGTATCTCTCTCTTTCTTTCTTCCACAGTTGCCAAGTCTCACCCTCAACTACACTAAACGTCAAAGGGCTCAACACCCTCACTCCCCCATCCACACACTTTCCCATCCACACACTTTCCCATCCGCACACTTTCCTATCCACACACTTTCCCATCCGCCCACTTTCCCATCCGCACACTTTCCCATCCGCACACTTTCCCATCCACACACTTTCCCATCCACACACTTTCCCATCCACACACTCCCCCATCCACACACTTTCCCATCCACACACTTTCCCATCCACACACTTTCCCATCCACACACTTCTCAACACACTCTGCCATTCACACATGCGTATGGGCGCAACGCCATGCCTCCCTCGTCCACATACTGCCTCTCTCATTCCGCCCACACCTCTCCCTCTTCCCCCCCCCCCCCCTCCCCCCCTCCAATTAACAGAAGCTGCACCGCGACCTGCCGGCCACTCGGCTGTACGCCTATGGGCTCAACGAGCGCACTGCTCATTACCCTGGCCCCACTCTCGTCGCCCGACGTGGGATCGCCACCAAGGTACAAAGGGGTGGGGAGTGGTGGTACGGAGGGGTGGAGAGTGGTGGTATGTAGGGGTGGAGGGTGGTGGTTCAGAGGGGTGGAGGGCGGTGGTTTTAGGGTTGTTTCTTTCTGTGCATTCGATCCTGGGAGATGGAGTCATCTCAAAACCTGCCTTGTTCGTGCATGTGTGCTCGCATGTGTGTGTGCGTACATGGCATGTGAGCCCACCACCAGGTGCGATGGGAGAACCACCTGAGGGACAAGACGCACATGTTCGCAGTGGACTATACCCTCATGGACGTTGCTAATCCCAAGCGCGGCAACATCCCCATTGGTAACTACCACTTCTCCCCACCCGCAATCCCCTCCCTCTCCCCATCGGCCTCCCCTCCCCTCTATTCGTCTCCATGTCTCCCTTCACTGCCTTTAAGTGCCAAGTCTCCCCTCTATCCCTCTCTTTGTCTCCGTTCTCTGCCCTCAAGTGCCGAGACATCTCAAAATCCCCACTCTGTGCCACCTCGCTCTGACCCTCCCTGCGCCCCTGCAGTGATCCACAAGCACGGCGGCGAGACCCCATCGCACTCCGACGGCCACCCACAGGCGTGGTTCACGCAGTTCGGGGAAACAGGCCCCACGTACCGCTCGCGCCGCTACACCTACCCCAACGACCAGCAGCCGGCTACCCTGTGGTACCACGACCATGCCGTCGGCATCACACGCCTCAACGTGGCTGCTGGCATGGCCGGGCTGTTCCTTCTCACCGACCCCAAAGGCGTCGAGAGGAAGCTTCGGAAGCAGCTTCCAGCCCCGGAGTTTACCCTGCCCCTGGCGATCTCGGACCGATCGTTCTTTGCCAACAGGTCCATTGACTACCTCTCTGGGGGCTGGGAGCCTGAGTATTTCGGGACCACCATCCTTGTCAGTGGCTTGGTGAGTCGTGCTTCTTTCTCCTTCACTTCCTCCTACGCTGCCTCTGCTTCTTCCTTCGTTCGTCGTCATCCCACCTCAACCGCTTTCTCTTTCTCTTCCCCTTCCTTTTCCTTCGGCGCCTCACATTCTTCTGTCGTTAATCTCATCTCATCCAGGCAAACCGCACAGGTCTGGCCGTACCTATCAGTGAGGCGCACGAGGTACCGCTTCCGAGTGCTGGGGGCGGCCAGCAGCCGCTTCTTCAATCTGCGCTTCGTGTGCGCCGCCCCCGACAACTACCCCGACTTCACCCCGCCCATCACAGGCCATGCGCTGCCCATCATCCAGGTGTGATGTGCTATACTTTGTGCTGCCCATCGTGCAGGTGTGTGCTATGCTGTGTGCTCCCCGCCATGCTTCAGGTACGCCCCCTTCCCCTCCTGCTTCGTGTGCGCCGCCCCCTCCAACTACCCCGACTTCACCCCTCCCATCACAAGGTATACGCTGCCCATCGGGCAGGTGTGTGCTATGCAGTGCTGTCTGCTCGCTGCTGCATGGATCATGGGCACATGTATGTGTGTTGCTGACGGCAACAGTGCCTGTGCTGCAGCATCAGTTATTGCATGTTCGTGGGCAACTTTTGAGTCGACTCAAAGCAATATTCCCTCTTTTGATGTGATAAATAAACGAGCAGCAGCGTTCGCGCTGCAGCGTCAGCTATCTGTGCTCATGACAGTCCCTCCTCTCCACACATTCACATCCCTCTGCACCCTCCCATATCCCCCACCATGCTCATTCCCCGCCCCTCGCATCCCTGTCAATCTGACAATTTCCACCGAGCAAGCATATACAGGTGTCCATCACCCAGGTGTGTGCTGCCCACCCAGCAACCATATCCAGTCCCATCCCGTCCCTCCCTTCCCCGTCCCTCCTCCCCCATCCCACCCTGGCTCTCCCCGTCTTCAGATTGCCATGGACAGCGCCTACCTGCCCCGCCCTCGCTGTCCTTGCCAAACTTACCAATGCGCCTCCCCCTCCCCCTCCCCCTCCCCCTCCCCCTCCCCCACCCCCTCCTTCCCCCCCACCCCCTCCTCCCCCCCCACCCCCTCCCGCTCCCGCTCGCTCTCCTCTCCCCATCCCACCAGATCGGCACGGACGGAGGCTACCTGCCCCGCCCCGTCACCCGCGCCTCGCTGCTGCTCGCCCCAGGGGAGCGCCACGTCATTCTCGTCAACTTCACCTCGCTGCCCGCCTCCTGTGCCGACGTCATCAACGACGCCCCCGCGCCCTTCCCCTCGGGCGAGGCACCGGGCCGCAACGCCACGGGCGTGGTCATGCGGTTCATTGTGGATAGCGCCGGCGCTGTTGTGCCGTCACCGCCCGTCTCCAAGAAGCTCGTGGTGAGTGTGTGTCCTCTGGGGGACGGGCAGCATGGGTTGGGCGGGCAGCATGGGTTGGGCGCTCCGCATGGGTTGGGCGGGCAGCATGGGTTGGGCGGGCAGCATGGGTTGGGCGGGCAGCATGGGTTGGGCGGGCAGCATGGGTCGGGCGGGCAGCATGGGTTGGGCGGGCAGCATGGGTTGGGCGGGCAGCATGGGTTGGGTGGGCAGCATGGGTTGGGCGGGCAGCATGGGTTGGGCGGGCAGCATGGGTTGGGCGGGCAGCATGGGTTGGGCGGGCAGCATGGGTTGGGCGGGCAGCATGGGTTGGGCGGGCAGCATGGGTTGGGTGGGCAGCATGGATTGGGCGGGCAGCATGGGTTGGGTGGGCAGCATGGGTTGGGCGGGCAGCATGGGTTGGGTGGGCAGCATGGGTTGGGCGGGCAGCAACGCCACGGGCGTGGTCATGCGCTTCATTGTGGACCGCATGGGGAGTGTTGTGCCGTCCCCTCCTGTCCCAAAGAAGCTTGTTGTGAGTGTGTGCACCGTGGGCAGGGCAGCAACGGCACGGGCGCTGGTGTGTGCACTGTGGGCAGGGCAGGGCAGCAGCAGCACGGGTGTGCTGTGCTGGAAGCTATTTCCCCCATTTCCCCCCTCCACCGACCATCTCTCTGCCTGAGGCTTCTTCCTCCTTAACCTGCTGCGCCCATCCCAGACAAATTCTCATCTCGCCCCTTCTGTGTGGCCGGGGAGATTCGGATGGCAGCATGGCACGCCCCACTCCAACCTCTCTTTGACTTACGTTCCTTGGGTCATCAACCTCCTCTTTTCCCCCTTAGTCGTTCCCACAACCCCCCCCCTCCCCCCCCCCCTCACCTCTTTCTTTCCCACACGCCCACTCAACTTTCGTCTTCCCACACCCCCCCTCACCTCTGTCTTCCCCACACCCCATCTCACCTCTTTCCTCCCAACATTCCCCCTCCCGCCATGCCAGTCCCTCGCTGCACGGCTGGAGTAATGTGTAGCAGAGTTACAATCTCCTACAAATGTGGATCTCATGATTTATATATGTCTCGCGCTTACTTTTCTTTGTCGTAGGAGTACCGAGTTGACTTTTGAGTCGACTCAAAAGTTTATCGTAGGAGTACCTCTTCCATCTCTCCCGCATGGCGAAGGGGGGGTGGATGACGGCCATGGAGCTATCTGCCCCTGACAGGCTGGCCTGTGCGCCTCACTCGCCTTCTCTCCTCCCCATTCCCCCCCTGCCCGCCGTGGCAGCCCCTTCCCAAGCCTTCCCAAGCTGCACCTCTCCTGTGTGAGCAAGGAGAGGTGGATTACAGTGGTGGGGCTGTCTTCCCCCAACAGGCCTGCCTGTGCGCCTCACTCACGCTCTCTCTCTCTCTCTCTCTCTCTCTCTCTCTCTCTCTCTCTCTCTCTCTCTCTCTCTCTCTCTCTCTCTCTCTCTCTCTCTCTCTCCTAACATCCCCCTCCTGGCGTGGCAGTCGCTTCCCAAGCTGCGCCTCTCCCGTGTGAGCAAGGAGAGGTGGATGACAGCCGTGCAGCTGTCTTCCCCCCAACGCATCACCTTTGATGGCCGCGGCTTCAGTGACGCGCCCACCGAGACTCCCAGGCGGGTGAGTGTAGTGAGGAGAGGCACCCGAGATGGTAAGAGTGTAGAGGCGGAGAGGCACCCATGCAGATGAGTGTTTAGGCAAGGCACCTTGGCACACCACGCTTTACACGGTGACACCTATCCCATTCACTTCTTGTTTCGCATTCACCCCATACCCCCGCTGCTGCCGTCTTTCCACGCTGCGTGCCATGTGCCTCATGGCGTGTGCTACCTGTCATGAGCATGGCGTGTGCTACCTGTCGTGAGCATGGCGTGTGCTACCTGTCGTGAGCATGGCGTGTGCTACCTGTCGTGAGCATGGCATGTGTTTTGAGCAGAACTCGGCAGAGCTATGGCACATAATCAATGACACGCCAGACGCCCTCCCATCCAGCACCTCATCATGCACCTCCCCATACATCCCCCTGTCGATGCCCTCTTCGCATGCTGTGTGCCAGCTGTGCACCATGAGCAGAACTCGGAGGAGCTATGGCACATAATCAATGATACGCCAGACGCCCACCCCATCCACCTGCACCTCATCATGCACCGCCCCCTCGCCCGCCGCCCCTTCAACCGCACCGCCTACCGCAACAGCCAGTGCGCTTTCCCTGGCAACTCCTCCGCCAACTCCTCCCTGCCCAGCTGCTTCACGGGGGAGGGGAGCAGCGTGAGAGTGAGTGGGAGGGCGGGCGTGGGGGAGTACGAGCGCGGGTGGAAGGACACCACTGTGCTGCAGCGGGATGAGGTGCTCACCCTCTGGACCGGCTGGTTCTCCCAGGTGACACTCTCGCCCCACTCCTGCCTGCCTCTGTTTTCAGAGGCGTTTCTTGCAGCACCTTCTCTATTGGATGTGCATACTGAATTGAGCGAGGCGTTTACTCCAAGCCCTAGGTGTGGAGTGTACTGAAGTGTGTGTATGTGTGTTTCGCTTGTCTCCTTGCAGGACGGGTCGCCGCTCCCCTTCAACCCCACGCGTGGCCCGGGGTACGTGTGGCACTGCCACATCCTGGAGCACGAGGACAACGACATGATGCGGCCCCTCATTGTCACGTAGCGAGCATGGAAAGCACCGGGACCATGGCGTGTGGATGGTGTGGGTGTATAGAGCACAGCAGCGGCGTGCATGGGTGTGGGAATAACGTAGCCAGGGGTGCGCGTGTGGCACTGCCACATCCTGGAGCACGAGGGCAATGAGATGGTGCAGCTCCTCATTGTCAAGTAGAGAGCATGGGGAGCAGGAGGGTGTGTGCATGGGTGTGGAGAGCACAGCTGCATGCATTGGTGTGGAGTGTCTGGGTGCGGCACAGCTCATGTTGTGACATGCAATGTTTGTCCCTTGTGAATACAAGAGGTCACACATCTTAATGTTGGGAATAATAAGTCCTAAAGCGCCTCTGTCGTGTCGAAACTCAGGACACTAGCGAAGCAGTCCGAATCGAAGCATCGCGAGTCAACCCTCGGAGGTTGAGGTAACCACCTGGAGGTTACACGAAGGTCAAAGGTCAACGACCTTTGACTTGACAAAACAGCGCGACAGCAAGGACACACAACTGACTCGACATTGAGCAGTTGCCCGAGTCGCACTGTATCGAATCGCAACAGCAAAAACAGTTTAGTTATATCTATTCGTATTCCTTGTACTCTTATATACAGCCTTGTATTTTGCTTGTTTTAATCAACTTACTTTGCCCTCACATACTAGCACAAGGTGGTTCAAGGACTTTCATTCAACGCTTCCGCTATTACAATTCTACTCATACTTAAACTCTACAAAGATCCTAGGGCACTTCAGCCCAACATGGTATGAGAGCAAGGTTAGAGTTTAAAAACTTATTTTTTCTCTCAACACTCAATACAAAGAAAGAAGACATGTCTACTAGGAAGGAGAGGAGCTCCTCCAACGGCTCTCCAGGCACTACTCCTACTCCACCTCCTGTCTCTGGTCTACAGACACAGGAAGGGACTACCACGAGACCAGCAGCTGGGTCTACGGAAACGCCCGCAGGCTTCGATCCAAGCATGATGGAGAAGTTCTTCTCCTTCATGTCCTTCTACGAGCAGCACCAGCAAGGAGTACCTGCGCAGTCAAATAACAGCAACAACAACAACGTGACTCCTATGAGTCTCGACGGCTCATCCTACGCACGCGGGATTCAACAACAACAACAGCAGCCTACCTTTGTGCCGTACGAGCCCCAGCGTGGCTCCGTCAGCTTCATGCCGCAACCGCAATCTGCACCGGGACAAGAAAAGGCATTGGACGCATTACAAGTTCTGTCACAATTCGCACACGTCCTAAAGCTGCAAATGACAAAGCCTTTCGACGGCAAAGACTTCTTCACCTGGTCATTCGAGTTCGAGTTGATGATGGAAGGAGCACATATTCTCGGCTTCTTCGACGGGTCCCTGCCATATCCAACAAACAGGACACAATATGAGAAGCAGCAGTACACCTATCAATCAATGATGGCGTACACGATACTGCTAAGAAACATCACCCCGACCCAACAGCAGAACATCAGGACTTACCGAGGCTACGGCAACTCCGCGGAGCTCGCGTACAACCACCTGAAGAACCTGTATCAAGCAACAGACAGCGTAAATCAAAGCAGGTTAATGGCGCAGCTGACAACAATTGAAATGAAACCAGGCGAGAAAGGCATGGCTTATATCGGCCGCTGCCGCGAGCTGCGCGACAAGCTCCTTCGATGCGGAGGCTCGATTTCAGAAGACGCTTTTGTCACGGTGGTCATCGGCGGTCTCGGACCCCACTGGCGCTCCACTCGCGCCATATTGCGAGCACACGGGAGGATCTCCGAAGCGGCACTCTGCGCCGAAATCCACGCCGAACAGCAAGACATGGACCTGCAAGAAGAAAGACACAAGAAGAAAATCCTAGCACCGGAGTTTGCGTTTCACACTCAGCGACGACACAACGGCAACAACAATCGACAACATCAACAAGTGAAGACGGTACCTCCGTTTTGCCACATCTGCAAGACCTCGGGACATCCTCGCACGCACTGCCCGTCTCGTCAGCAGTCGACGACACCACAGCGACAACTCCGGCCTTCAAGCTCCCAAGTTGCTTCAACGCAAGCAAATCCGACGACCACAATCCAAGCTTCAACGACTTCAACTGGACAACCTGCACAAGGAACAAGAAGCATCGTCAATTGCATGGTGAAGATAACCGATTCGTGCACAACCAAGTCACCACCCCACTACTCACCGGAAGAAGAGCTCGACAACAGGACGCCTCGCCGCGAGTCACTCCAGCCGAATCCGACGTACGCCGCCATCGCTCAAAGCGAACCGTCCGGCCAAGACACTTGGTTCTTGGACAGTTGCTGCGGACAACATATGTGCTCCTCCGGGCGCTTCGTTCAACGCGAACATCGACTCCAGCGAGAAGTAGTCATCACGGTCACCAACAATCAGAACCTGCGCACACGACGACAAGGAGTGGTACAGCTTCAGTCACGAGAGACAAATGACATATTACACATGTCAAAGGTACTTATCGCGGAGGGACTAGGCTACAACTTACTGAGTGTTAGCCAGTTGATGGCGAAAGGCATCCACTTGGAAGCCGACAGCACCACCCAGGAGTTTAAGTTATACCACGGGAAGGGCGGCCTCTACATCGGAAAAGCATTGTTGAAGAATAACGTCTTCGTCCTCGATTTCGTCCCCGATCTGGGCACTGCAGATAGCAACGCCATCGTCAACTTCACCGATTGGACACATCCCCCGGATCTCGATCCCGACTTCAGCTCGGGAGGCTTCTGGTACTCGCACACCATCCCTGAGGCAGAACGAACACGAGCATTAGCAACGATTCAACAAACGACAGCAGCAGAGACAACAACGGCAGCAGCAGAGACAACAACGGCAGCAGCAGAGACAACAACGCCAGCAGCAGAGACATCATCGGCAGCAGCAGGACCAACGACACCAGTCTCCGTCAACGAAGAACCACCAACACCCGCACAGCAACTAAACCCGACTCAACGAGAAGTCCATCGAAGCGCCAACTTCGTCGCCAGCTTCTACTCCAACTCTGACGCGTATCAACGCTCACCCGGACATCGCGCTCCTGAAGATAACTGGCACGCACGCACAGGACATCCAAGCAATACAGTGTTAAATAACACAATACGAGCAGGAGTCCTAGACAAAGATTCACTACTACTATCCGACCGCAGAGAACTTCAACGGGCACGAGGAACTTGCCTCATCTGCCGCGAAGCCGACTTACCTCATCGACCGTTTTCTTCTCACCACAACCCGGGCGCACCTACATACGCACCACTCGAGAAAGTGTACAGCGACATCCTCTTCAACCGAGAACCAGGACAAGTCACCTACAATTACACGATAACCTTCATCGACGCCGCCACTCGATACGTCTGGCATCGAAACCTACCCAGCCGCGACATGGCTCTTGCAGCGTTCGCCGCTTGGCTACCGGTAGCAGAGAGAGAATCAGGAACACAACTGAAAAGCTTCCAGTCAGACGGAGGAGGAGAATACACCTCCCAGCGCTTCAAGCAGTACCTGGCGGAAAGGGGAATCAAGCAACTCCTCTCCCTTCCCTACGCCCATCAGCAGCAAGGTGTAGCAGAAAGAATGAACAGGACTCTGCAGAACAGCATGCGCAAACTGCTACGTGGCATGCGGCTACCCAACCACCAGTGGCCTGCAGCAATGGACCATGCTGTCATACTGCACAACTTGTTGTCGTCGTCGTCACTCCCGAACAACGCCTCACCGCATCTGCTGTGGATAGGGAAGCTGGGCAGCACAAGAATGTTACGAGTTTTCGGATGCATGGTACAGTACAGACCCCCAGAAGCACGAGCGGGAAGATTTTCACAACGGGCACAGTGGGGACTACACCTCGGCATCGAGAAAAATTACAACGCGTGGAAAATCTTCGACGTCCACACAAAGGAAACAGTAGCAACACGTGATGTGATTTTCTACGAGCGACTCACGCTTCAGACGTACCTCGCCAACTTGCACGAGAATCGGGACCTCACAGGTAGCTTTCGTGGTGACCGAGCCTTCGCCTCAGCAGCGGACGAAGCAGACTGGGATGAACAGAACGTCGACAACGCATCGGAAGAAGCCGAACCTCTCCCGTACTGCTCCGTCGACGTGCCCATGGACGAAGAAAATCCTCGCGACAGTAACAACGCCGAAGTCTTCTATCACTTTGCCGACAACGGTTACGTAACACCTGCGACAGTCAACACAAATGAAGCAGAAAGGATAGGGCCAAACTTCATACCCGATCCAGAAGCAGGAGACGAAGCAGCTTATCCCGAGGACACAACACTTCCCCGATACTCACAGACTGGGCTGCAAATCCTTGGTCTCGTCACCGCAGTCCACGGGAACACAGGCAGCGCGCTTCCTAAAGAGCCTGCGACGGTTCAGCAGGCTCTGGGGGGGGGAACATAGGGAAAAATGGCGTGAAGCCATGGACAGAGAATTGAAGGCATTGGAGGAACGCAACACCTGGAAGGTCGTTCCCGCAAGCGTGGCAAGGAACAAGACTATCCTCACCGGTAAATGGGTCTTCCGCATCAAAACGAAAGCCGACGGCACAATCGAAAAGTTCAAAGCACGTTGGGTCGTGCGTGGATTCGACCAGGAGCAAGGACGAGACTTCACCGAAACATTCGCCCCAGTCAGTCGACATACCTCTCTCCGAATCCTTCTCGCCGTCGCCGCCATGAAGAAGAAGAAGCTGCGACAAATCGATGTTGCCAACGCATTCCTCTACGCACCCGTCGACGCCGAAATCTTCGTCGAACTCCCACACGGCACTCACGGAAATCCCAATCAGGTCTGCTAGCTACTGAAATCGCTCTACGGAATCAAACAAGCTCCGCGGCTGTGGCAACAGCACCTACACACCCGTCTCACCCGCATCGGATTCCGCCAACTACCTCATGACCAAGGGATGTACAGACTCACTAAAGGCACCGACTACATCCTGCTGATCGTCTATGTCGACGACTTGCTCTACATCGGCTCCACCGACGACGTCACCACCTGGTTCGAAGGGGAGCTGCAGAAAGACCTCACGCTCACGGTCTCTTCTACCGTGACCCAGTACCTCGGGCTCAACATCCGCGAAGAAGAAAATGCGATCTACCTAAGCGCCGAGAAATACGCCGACACCATCGCCAAACGCTTCTCACTCACACCTACCGCCATCACCACGCCATACCGCTATACGGCAGGAAGCGACAAAGGAAATCCCGTCCCACTCAAAGCTGCCGGAAAACGTGACTACCAGAGGAAGTTGGGCTGCCTCCTCTTCGCAGCCGTCACCTGTCGTCCGGATTTGTCCTACTCCGCAAGCCAACTCGCTACCTATCTCAAGAAACCTGAAGCAGAGCACCTGGCGGAGCTCGATCGCGCACTGCACTACTTCGTGAGCACACCGACGATCGGGCTGACTTACTACAAAAGCGAAGCTACGAAGACGAAACTAATCGGCTATGTCGATGCCGATCACGCCGGCGATTCAGATAACAGGCGCTCTCGCACTGGCTACGTCTATCATCTCGAGCCTATCGGACCTATCTCCTGGCAGTCGAGTAAGCAGGAACTAATCGCTCTCTCTTCAGCTGAAGCATAATATATCGCCCTCTGCTCAACCACCAAGGAAGGACTCTACCTTCGCGAGCTGTTGGAAGAAGCAAAATTAGCTGAGTCACCCAACTTCACCCTGTTCTGCGACAACCAATCTGCAATTCACATCGCCAACAAAAGCGGATTCGCGAACAGAACGAAGCATATCGCTCTGCGATACTTCTTCGTGAAAGACGAGATCGAGAAAGGAAAACTCGAATTATCCTACTGTCCCACGTCCGAGATGGCAGCCGACTACTTGACCAAGAAACTCGGAAAACAGAAGTTCGAGTACTGCATGCTGCTGACTGGACAAGGCCACGTCACCGTCAGCGACACTCCAGAAGCGAAGGGGAGTGTTGGGAATAATAAGTCCTAAAGCGCCTCTGTCGTGTCGAAACTCAGGACACTAGCGAAGCAGTCCGAATCGAAGCATCGCGAGTCAACCCTTGGAGGTTGAGGTAACCGCCTGGAGGTTACACGAAGGTCAAAGGTCAGCGACCTTTGACTTGACAAAACAGCGCGACAGCAAGGACACACAACTGACTCGACATTGAGCAGTTGCCCGAGTCGCACTGTATCGAATCGCAACAGCAAAAACAGTTTAGTTATATCTATTCGTATTCCTTGTACTCTTATATAAAGCCTTGTATTTTGCTTCTTTTAATCAACTTACTTTGCCCTCACATACTAGCGCAAGGTGGTTCAAGGACTTTCATTCAACGCTTCTGCTATTACAATTCTACTCAGACTTAAACTCTACAAAGATCCTAGGGCACTTCAGCCCAACACTTTACACCTTCCGGGGAAGGGGAGAGGAAGGGGAGAAAGACAGGGTGGTTGGCTTGGGCTATTGTGGCATTCCTCTGTTTTAAAAGGATAAAACACTGTTCTCCATGTGAGAGGAGCTTTGCATACAAGAGTGGGGGGGCTAGTGTGGAAGCTAGTGGCTAGTGGGTGAAGAACATGGCCCCGGATATAGGCGTCGGCCTATTGCAGGCGCCGGCGCTTCTATCTGGAGCATGGCGCTTCTGGCCGATCCTCGATTATAAGCGCCCCCCCTGGAAAACCATTACTTATTATAAGCGCCGTGTGCAATTTTTGTTTAATTATCAGTTTAAATCGGTAACGAATTTCAGTTTTGCAGCGAGTCAAATTTCATTTCCTTTGTTTGACTCGCGAAGACCTGACTGTCTGCGCGTCCAGTCAGGATGTGCTGGCATGCCTGCAAAGTGACGCGAATTTGCCCGTGTACAGGAAGCAGAATCGTTTGCGCGCGATTCTGCTTTGTGACGCTATAATCGTTCGACTCGTTTGAAATGGCTACAACGAAAGGTACAGTTTGGTACCTTTAAAGATAAAAATTGTATGTCATTATATAAGCGCCGGCGCTTATGGCCGTTCCTCAATTACAAGCGCCACCCTTGAAAAATATTAACTTATTATAAGCGCATATGCGCTTATATCCGGGGCCATACGGTAAATTTACATGCTTTTCACATTTTTCGTCCGATGTGCCAGTGGTCTAGTGGTAGAATAGCCGAATCCCCCCCCGCATCCGACTCCTCATTCTTGATGCACTTCTCATTCTACTGCGCCGCCTTGCATGACATCCTTCTGACGTCGTTGCACACCTCATTCTCTTGGCATTCCCGCGTCTCCTACTGCGCCTACCATCTGCCGCTGCTCCCACACAGCCCCTTACCTCTTCATGTGCTGCCTTAGCGCCCCGCTTCATCACTGGTGACTGGCACTCTCTTTTCAGCGAAGTCGTAGCTGCATCCACTCCAGTCGCTAGACCTCTGTACATGGCATCAGCACGTTCTACAGCGCAGCAGGCTCGTCTCAACCGTGCGAAGCGGTTTGCAAAATGCGGGGATTGGTCGCGGTCACTGGCAGCACTGGAAGCTGGCGAGCTAGCTCCTCCATCATCAGAAACAGTTGTTGCCCTCAGCTCCAAGCACCCACCTGCTGCAGCAGAGATTCCTGACTGGGTACACACCTTTACTCCTGCAGCCGCACCACAACTTACCGTCCCTGTTCTCCATGCCGCTCTACAGTCCGCCCCCCGTGGCACAGCTGCTGGACCTTCTGAGTGGTTCATTGAGTACCTCAGGGACACGTTTCTTTCTCAACAGCAGCATCTCCCTTCTCTCCTCCACGTATTCCAGAACTGGCTGCAGGGTGACCTTCCACCCGCAGTCAGGCCTTTCTACACCGCTTCGAACCTCGTGGCCCTGCAGAAACCGCATGGTGGTGTACGTCCCATCGCCATTGGGGAAGTGCTACCACGCCTCCTTTCACGCTGCATCACTCTCCTTTTTAAGCAGCAGATGCGGGAGACATTCCTTCCCCACCTTCAATTTGGCGTAGGAGTTCCGGCCTGGATCGAGATTATGTCGCACGCAGTGTGCTCCGCCTTCTCCCTTCATCCTGACTGGGTGGTGCTTCACCTGGACGTTGCAAACGCGTTCAACTCGTTCAACCGGGTTTCCATGTTTGAGGCATTAAGGCGCTCCCCATTCTCCAGTCTCATTCCCTTCTTCCGCCTATTCTACTCCACCCCTTCACCTCTCCACTACCGCAGCGGCCCCCTTCTCCACACATTCCAGTCAGCTTCTGGTGTTCGTCAAGGCGACCCTTGTGGCCCTTTCCTTTATGCCCTAACACAGCAGCTAGCCATCCAACCAACCGAGCAGCAGTCTCCCTCAATTTTCATTACCTCATACGCATACCTATTTGATTGGCCCTCCCTCAGACGTCTTTGCCGCATACACTGACCTTACCTCCCGCCTTCTCTCTTTCGGCCTTACAGTCCAACCCTCTAAGTTCTCTCTATGGGCCCCTATGGACCTGCCTGAACACTGCATTCCGCCCCCGGGTATCTCCATCGCTGCAAACGGTCTCACTGTCGCTAGCGTTCCTACTGGCTCCGACGGTTACATCATCTCTACGATTCGTGACAAACTCGATTCTTTCATTTCCTCCCTCCCCTTACTGCATCAACTGCAGGACCCACAGATTGCCTCACGGATCCTTTCCTTATGCATCACTGCCCGACCTTCTTTCCTCCTCCGAACTGTCGCACCTTTTCCCGAAATCCAAGAGCTACTTCCCTCATGGGACAGCACCATTTTCAGCCACTTCTCTCAGCTCCTGGGCTCTGAGTACTGGAATCCCACCTCTGAACAGTCCACATCGGACCGCCTCCAAGCCTTGCTCCCTATCCGCTTAGGTGGCTTCGGCATTCGCAGCTCTGCATCCATCGTCCCCCTCAGTTACCTTTGTAGCTGGGCGCAGACAGTTTCGACCTTATCCACCCACTTCATCACTGATGGTGCTCCGCCCTTACGTCACCACAGACTCCATTAACCTCCTCGACCCTTCAATCTCATCCACCATAACCAAGCTTCCCCAAGACATTCGTGATCGCTTCCCATCATGGCTTGTGCTTCAATCGGGCTACCCTCCTAAACTCTTTACTCATCTCTCCCAACACCTTAAAGCCGATTTGCTGGAGAAGGTTCGAGCCACAGCAACGTCCCCGCTTCGCCTTGCTCGTCTAACCTCTTTGCAGGGCCCGCATGCAGGTGACTGGCTCACTGTGGCTCCATCCTCCCCGCACATGCAGCTTTCAGAGATTGAATGGCGCATTGCAGCAGCTATCCGCTTAGGCCTTCCTCTTCCTCACCTGTCATCTTCACTCACCTGCACCTGCAACTCCCCATTCACCGATCCTTCCATCCATTCTCATGTCCTTCGCTGCCCTAGCAACAACGAGAATACTAAGGTGCACGACGCAATCAAACGAGAAGTTCATCGCATTGCCTTGGAGCTGGGGTTTTTCTGCGCAGATGGAAGACCAGCATCTCCTGTCTGGCCACCGCACAGACATCACGTGCCGCGACATTAGCTCTGGTACCACCTGGACCTTGGATGTTTCTGTTGCTGATCCACAAAAGGGGTTTCCGCAATCCAACGCAGCTATGGTGATTGGTTCAGCAGCAGCCACTCGTGAAAGTGAGAAGACCACCCACTATGCTGCAGCACTTCGTGACCGTCCAGACATCATACTGTTTCCCCTTGTCATCGAAACCTTTGGTTGCTTCGGCTCTTCGTTCAACAACTTCCTTCGCCAATGCAGCCGCAAAGGGGCATCACAACTCCGCGACTTGAGTGGTGCCATAGATTCTCTTCCCCAGCTGTTTGAGACCAAATTCTACAAACGGATTTCTCTGGTCCATCAACGTGAGCAGGCTCGCACTGTTTGTCGTCGTGCTCAAATTCGTTTTACCGAGGGCGTCAACCACGCACCACCCGAGGTGACTTCTCTTTCTGCGGCTGACTTTGCCTACTTGGGAGAGGACCATTGAGACATCACAGAGGCCTATTTGTAGGCCTCACAATAGGATTAGCTTGCATGTCTTTCCATACACTACATCTCTAAATTTGCCTTGTATCCATTGTACATCTAGTATAATGTCAATGAAGAGGTAGAATAGCACCCTACTACCAAATTGGGTGCAGACCCGGATTCGATACCCGGCTGGCACAGTCCGGCATGGTTTTTGCATCCTCATTCTCTGCTGCTGCCATACGATCAGCTCTTTTGCTTTAGGGTTTCCTTCATATGGACTTCCGAATCAGCGTTCATCCTTACAAGGTCCGGGGTAGAAGTTCAACAGAAGCAGGATATCGTATTTGACATGCGGGATTTTAGCACCACGAGCTTGCGCTCCTCTTGTCTGCCCGCCTCCTGTCCCTTCCCTCTCTCGTCCCTCTTCTGCCTGTCCCTCCCCTCCTCGCTTCTCTCACCTATTCCCTCTCCGTGCCTACCCTCCTCTTCCTCCCCTTCCTCACCTTCCGCTCCCTCCCCTTCCTCTCCCTCCCTCCTCTCCCTCACCTCACCCTCTTCTCCCTCCTCTCCCTCACCCCCCTCTCCCTTCTCACCCTCCCATACTCACCCTCCTCTCTCTCACCCTCCACTACCTCCTCGCCCTCCTTACATTCCTTACCCTCCTCTCCCTCCTGAGTTTTAGCGAAGTGGCAGAGTTTTAAGCGATGTTCAAGGGTTTAAGGGTGAAGGTTAATGATGGTGTTTTAAATAAATCCTTGCACACATTTCGTCAAAGTGACAGCTGAAGCTTTTGTAGCTATTCCTAGATTAGTTCCAGTAATCCACCATCTGCACGCAGCCAGAGTGCTACTTCTGCTTTCATGTGCTCTTTGCTGGAGCAAGCTAAACAAAAGTCAGAAACTTGCCTTTTATAAGCTTTCCAAGCTCCAGTCTCAATCACTTCGGCATGGCCTTGGTCATCTGTCAAATCTCCCATACGTGAAGCTTGTGTATCCAGAAAAACAGCTTGAGTTCTAATATCAGGCAACACTTCACCAGTGTGTTCACTTTTGCTTGTGCCAGGAAAATGTAGCATCTCATTTATGCCAGAGAACCAGTTTCTGCATTCCACACAGCGGCGTTTGAGGTCCGCATGATTTGAGTTTGGAATGACAACAATCAACTCAACTCACCTGTCACTCGTGGTTGATGGCTCATCCAACAGGATGGCTAGCCCAGCTCTCTGACACCCAGCATCCACATTGTAAACAGCAGGAAGAAACAGCGCCCTAAGAAGTTTAGCGGATCCAGGAAGGACAAGTGAAGCAAGTTCGTCTGTAGTTGGCGTTGGCTTGAAAGGTGCACGATCTGGCAAAGGTCGAAGTCAATATGTCTCTCACAGGTCCTTTAGCAATGTCATAACCTGGGAGGCTCTTACCAATAAGCACCGACGTCTTTTGACCAATCAAGCTGGTCGGAGGCTCCATTTCCACAAGACCAACTGGAACCTTCATCCTCTGGTACACGAGCAAGTGAGACATACTTTTGGAAACATAATGCGAAAATTATGAGAGAATCCAACCTGAATGTCCAACGTGTTAGATATCGAAAGATCGCTCGGATGGCGAGTCACTGTCTGAGACGCAGTTAACCGTTTTGTCTTTTCAGCCATGCACGTTCTCACTTCCGTGAATTCTCTGGGGGATCCAGGAAAAGGTTAGGAGTAAGCGGTGCTGCGAAAGACAGAACAGCGAGCTGATTACTTGCAGACTGCAGGCGGCGTGGGTGCCAGATTCGCGGGTAATGGACTAGAAAACTTTTGTTTTTTCTTGGACACCGGCCCACGAGATGGAGAAGGCGTCGACAAGCTGACATTCTCCTGTAAGAGGAGAGCATAAGCGCATGTCACACGTGTGCTCTAAACACGTGTAACACGTGAAACCAACCTCTGACGGTAGAGATGTAGAAGGTTTGAGATTATGAAGCAACCTGCGGGAAGAGGGGGTGCTCAGATGTGCAAAGCTATCCACACAGCAGGGAGCTTACAGATGCATCGAACGACCCTCACTTTAACTTCCTTTTGGCTTTGTCTCGAATTCGTTCCAGCGTCGAATGCTCCATATTCAACTGGGAAACGAAAGAGCAGCTAAGACTTGTGGCCTTTACAGGTGACCTGTGGAGAAGACTGACTTGTAGAACCAAGTTAGGGAAAGCTGCGCTAAGGTGAGCACATGAGGATCTAACTGCGTGTTCCTTCTCTTCTGATGATGTTGGTGTGCAGGTTTGAAGGCTTGGAAGGTTGGTTTGGAAACCGGCTCGCGAATTTGTGGAGGGTAAAAATTGCTGGGCGAGTGTCGCTTGTTCGCCCAAGTTACCTGACTTTTCGTTCAACCCATCGCACCACATTCGCAAGATGCTCTGCACTGTCACACAGGAAGGCAATCCCCAGAGCAGCAAGGAAAACACCAGCAGAGAATAGCCACTCCCATCGGGAATCTCGTATCCAGCAGGAGTCCCCTGGGGTCCTGTGCCGAAGCGACAGCGGTTACGCGTCAAAATAACGTTCCGATCTCGACGGTTAACTGGGCCAAAGTGGGTAAAAATTAGGTCGGAACCGATCGCCCGACCGCGATTCCGGGTTTTAGACTCCTCGAAACACGACGCATTGGACCCACGTGGTATCGAGGGCGTTTTTGACGGGGATCAGGTCAGTAGCGGTTTCCCAATCTCGAAATGCGTTACTGTGATCTCTTTCGCTCTCTCCTTTCCGATCATTTACCGTCCACTGTTCCCTCTCTCTGTTTCACCGTCGGCCTTCCCCCTCGTTCTCTCTCGTCGCCCCGTTTCCATCCTTTCCCTCCTTTCCATATCCTCCCCTCCCCACCCCCCCTGCGTTCTCTCTGTGTCATCTACCTCCGTGGGTCACTGTTTTCATCCCCCCTGTACTCTCCTAGGTCTTGGACGGGCTCGCGCTCCTGTCCCCTCTCGCGCTCCTGTCCCCTCTCGCGCTCCTGTCCCCTCTCGCGCTCCTGTCCCCTCTCGCGCTCCTGTCCCCTCTCGCGCTCCTGTCCCCTCTCGCGCTCCTGTCCCCTCTCGCGCTCCCGTCCCCTCTCGCGCTCCTGTCCCCTCTCGCGCTCCTGTCCCGTCTCGCGCTCCTGTCCCCTCTCGCGCTCCTGTCCCCTCTCGCGCTCGCGTCCCCTCTCGCGCTCCTGTCCCTTCCTTCCCCTCCTCCCGCCCCTTCCCCCTCGCGTCCCTTCCCTCCTCCCGTCCCTCCATTCCTGCCGTCGCTCCCCTCATGAATTCCTTCCCATACTCCCTCTCCCCCCTCACCCCCCTCCCTCCCCTTCCTCTCCCTCCTCTCCCTCCTTTCCTCACACTCCTTTTCCTTCTCCCATACCTCTCACTTCCGCTGCGTATGCCTTTTCTCACACTTATGACTGTAGGAGTTTTGTAGTTGAAAATTTGTTGCCATTGTTGCCTGCCCCATTCGAGCCAACTCAACAGCAGATGCTTCAGCCGCTTTCTGCTATCTTGATTCGTCTTTTCGACTCAATAATGGTCTGGATGCTCAAATCGCTTTGCCCGCTCCCAGTGAGTCGACTCCGCTATCTCTCCTTTCTCCCCCTCTCCACACCGCATTGCAAGCAGGCAGGCCCTGTGGTTAACCGCGGGCTCTTTTTTATATTTTTTAAATCGACTTTTGAGGCGGCTCAAGAGGCGGGCAGGCAGGCCAGGCCCTGTGGAGCGTAGCAGCAGCAGCAGCACCATTGCTCTTCCCGCTGCCATCAACCCATTGGCATCACGTAGCGTGGTTTTGCCACGATGACAGGTGATGATGGTGGTGATGGTGATGGTGATGGTGATGGTGTGATGGTGATGGTGATGGTGATGGTGATGGTGATGGTGATGTTGATACTGATGGTGATGGCGGTGATGTTGATGCTGATGGTGATGGCGATAACGACATGCAATTCCAGAATGTATTTCCTCGTGGAAATCCAATCCAATCAGCTCAGATCTGTCTGTGGTAGCAAGGTGTCTGGTCAACCCAGGGCGTCTGATCTGGTCAGCTGTGCTCGACTTAACTTGACTTCCCTCCCCTCCCCTCGCACCTCTTTCCTCTGGTGTGTTGCCCCGCCGTTGCCCACCCACAGCAGACTACGAGGGCGAGCAGCAGATGGTTTTGAGATGTCTCAAACCTTCACTCTTATCACCCACAACAGACTACGAGGGAGAGCAGCCGATGGAGGTGGAGTGGAGGCGCTAGAGGGGCAGCAGAGCAATAACACCGCACCTCCCCTCCCCACCCCTCGCCCTCTCGCTGCCTCATGCCCTGGCTTTCCAGACTACGAGGAGGAGCAGCCGATGGAGGTGGAGGCGCCGGAGGAGCAGCAGAGGCAAAAACGCCCCTCTTTTCTCCTCTCAACTTTCCATGCTCTGCGCTCGGCCCCATCCCGCCCGCCCGCACAGACTACGAGGGCGAGCAGCAGATGGAGGTGGAGAGGAGGCGCTGGAGGCGATCCTCACGGACGAGTTTGAGAGTGAGTCACTCTGCCTTCATGGCCTGATCCTTCCTTATGCTCCCTTCCCTCCCTTCCCTTCCCTGCGCAGACTACGAGGGCGAGCAGAGGATTGAGGTGGAGGCGCTGGGGAGGCAGCAGAGGCACCTTCCACCCCCCCTCCACTCCCTCCCCATTCTCCCGCTTCCGTCCCTTGGCCCATCTCTCTGCCTCATGCCATGGCTCGACAGACTACGAGGGAGAGCAGCAGATGGAGGTGGAGGCGCTAGAGGCGATCCTCACGGAGGAGTGAGTCTCTTTCCATGTTTGACACGCTTCTTCCTTATACTCCCGCCCGTCACTCCCTCCTCCCCTTTCCCTCCCCTGCACAGACTACGAGGGCGAGCAGCAGATGGAGGTGGAGGCGCTAGAGGCAATTCTCATGGAGGAGTTTGAGAGTGAGTCCCTCCCTTTGCCTGAATGCCATGGTCTTTCCGTGTGATTCCTTCTTTCCTCCTTTTAAGGCGCCTCAATAGGCGCTAGAGGCGATCCTCATGGAGGAGTTTGAGAGTGAGTCCCTCCCTTTGCCTGAATGCCATGGTCTTTCCCCATGTTCCCATCCCCTCTTCCCTGATGCTCGCTTTCCTCTTCCCTGCTGTTCGTTTCCCCCCTCTCTGCTTCTCGATCCCCCTTTCCCTGCTGTTCGTTTCCCCCCTCTCTGCTTCTCGATCCCCCTTTCCCTGCTGTTCGTTTCCCCCCTCCCTGCTACTCGATCCCCCCTTCCCTGCTGCTCCATTCCTGCCCCCCTTCTGCTCCCTTCCCCCCTCCCTGCCGCTCCCTTCCCCCCTCCCTGCCGCTCCCTTCCCCTCTCTTTGCTACTCCCTTCCCCGTCCCTGCTGCTCCCTCGCACTGTGTGTGTGCAAGGTTGCTCTGCCAGCTTTTTAACTCCTTCCCAACCCCCCCCAATCTCCGCGTGGTCATCCCATGCATGCTCTGCAGGGGTGGACGACACATCAGGCCTGGGCATGCCAGCGGATAAGCCATGCTACCTCATCACAATATGTAGCTCCCGCCCCTCCTCCTCCCCTCCCCCCCAATCCCCGGGTGGTCATCCCATGCGTGCTCTGCAGGGGTGGACGACACATCAGGTCTGGGCATGCCAGCGGATAAGCCATGCTACCTCATCACAATATCACCCAAGGTAATGTGATGCATTTGCTTCTGATATTCTACAAAATTGAAGGACATTTCAACTCGTGCCATGCTATGCCACTCCATGCTCCCACGTCACCATATTGCCTAAGGTAATGGTGATGCGTGGTGACATGCCATGCCATGCTGTGCCATGGCACGATATCAGATTAGACCACCATGTTCTGATCTTTCCGCTATGGAAATGGAAACATGCTTGTGTTGGCCTGATTATGTGAATGTGATGTTTCCATTTAACATGGTTGACAAAATTGACACCAACCAATGTAACTGGCCTTGGTTTCATTGTCGGTGGCATGCAAGCCATTTGTTTAATGGCACAGCTTATGATGTTCCCAGCATTAAAGATTTTTACATGGTGGGATGGGGTCATGGTTGTGCGTGTTGCCTTGTGGGTCGACTCTCAAGCATTGAAGTGGCAGTTCATTTTCCTGACACACGGTGGGATTGTGTTTGTGCGTGTTGATGTGAGCAGGGGGACGACGAGGAAGAGACGACACCTTTTCCAGGTACTTTCACTCCATGTGCCATGTGCCATGTGCAATGTGCCGTGTGTGTACTGTGTGCCATGTGGTGTATGTCGTGTAAGAATGTGTAACACTCTGTAAATGTAAGATTGTGAGTCAATGCAGTATAACTAACAAGGGCTGGGCCGGCTGACTTCCCCGGTCATTGTCTCTGCTCTCAACTAGTTTTTCTGTGTTCAGATCTTCTCCTCTCTTCTTTTTTCCTCCTCGTCCCCTCTTCCACCCCCATCTCCCTCCACCCCCTGCTCACCCCCACCCTGCCCTACCTTTTTTGGCAGTGCGGCTGGCACTCTACTTCGCTCACACACCCACCTACCCCGATGAGCCACCGCTGCTCAGCTTGCGAAGGTGATTCGATCAAACGTGATTCTATGTCAGCTGGTTTTATTGCTGGTCACTTCATTGCAGGTGATCTTTTTGCTGGTGTTTCATTCAAGTGATGATGGTGCAATTGAAATAAATTTAAATAAAGGAACCCTCAAGTGTTGCTGATAGGCATGAACTGATTCTGCATGCATGTTCATGGATCATATTGTGTGTGTGGAATGGCATGGCATGGCATGGCACGGTGTGGGGTTGCATGGTGTGCCACGTGCAGCCTACAAGGAGTGAGAGCCGTGGATCTTGAGGAGATTCGCAACAAACTCAAGGAAGAGGTGAAACCATGATGGTCCTCCAGTCCTCCTGTTTCTATCTTTTCGTAAACAGTGGCGTCTCTCTGTAGTTTATTATTATTATTACTTATATTATTATAATGATTCATATTTTTATTCGTATTATTATTTGGTGTGTCTCCTAAGCTTTTTATGTTGAGGTATGGTTCATTTATAAGCTTTTCTTACATTCCGTGTTCTGATATGGATGGTTATCTTTTATACAAAGTGATATATGTATGCTCTATTGTTTCGCGTCACTTGTTTCAGTCGACCTTGTGTTGCACCAGGCTTGCTTCTATGGGACCTTTTCATGCTGTTTTGTTGTTCCCATTCCACCTGCATTTTGAGCCATAGTTGTTTTTTTTCAAGTATTGAAAGGGCGAATGATGGAAAAAACAAACAAGGGATGGGCTCGAGCCAGACCATTTGCATTAGCATCACCATCATCATCATACCATCAGCACCACTCTCGTTCTGCTTCTCACCACCACTCACCACCGTACTGCATCCATTTGCATCGGGCGAGACCGCATCTCCCGCAGCCCACTCATCGAAGCAACCCTTCGATTTAAGCACATTGCCTCCTCTGTGCGTCGCATCACCGGAGTGTGGTCGCGTGCGTGCAAAGAGGGGCATGTGCCGGGAGTGTGATGGAATCAGAAGTGCATCTGACGCCCTGCCTCTGTTCGTTCTCTCACTACTACAAGCTATGCACTATATTTCTTGTCATTGAGTGTGGGTGGGTTCCTGTTAAGGCGTGTCGTGTCATTTGTTGTACAGTGGCCTTGCAGTGACTCAACGCTATTGGAGTCACTTTTAAAAAGGTCAGGTTATGATGGCCCACCCCACCAGTCTTCCTGTTTCAATTATTTCAGAAGCAATGGATCTCTCTGTAGGATTTCTATTATTTTCTGTTTTCTAAGCTTTCCGCGTTGAGGTATGGATCATAAGCTTTCTCTACATTCTACGCCTTCTGATATGGATACTTATGTTTCATACGAAGTGGTATCTGTAAACTATTTTGTTTCACGTCACTTGTTTTAGTCGACCTTGTGTTGCATCAGGTTTGTCCCTTTGAACCTTTTCATACTGGGTTGTTCCTGTGCCACCTCCATTTGAGCCATGATTGCTTTTATTTTCAAGTTCTGAAAGGGCGAATGATGGATAAAAAGAAAGGGATGGGCTCGAGCCAAACCATTTGCATTAGCATCACCATCACCATCATACCATCAGCACCACTCTCGTTCTGCTTCTCACCACTCACCACCGCACTGCATCCATTTGCATCGGCCGAGACCTTATCTCCCGCAGCCCACTCATCGAAGCAACCCTTCGATTTAAGCACATTGCCTCCTCTGTGCGTTGCATCACCGGAGTGTGGTTGCGTGCGTGCAAAGAGGGGCGTGTGCCGGGAGTGTGATGGAATCAAAAGTGCATCTGACGCCCTGCCCCTTGCTTGTTCCCTCACTACTACAATTTATATATGCAATAATTAACCTGTCATTTGAGTGTGCTCTCATGGTAAGGCATGTCTTGTCATTCGATGCAATCAGTATTCTTTCATATTCACCCTTATCGTGCACCGATGTACTCTCTGGCCCTTGTCACTCTCCTCATCCCTCCCTCTATCCATCCCCCGCCATGCCCCCATGCCCCATGCCTCTATCCATGCCTCCATGCCCCCATGCCATCATGCCATCACCCCCCCATGCGGCCACACCACACTCACAGGCCGAGGAGAACCTTGGGATGGCCATGATGTACACTCTTGCCACGTCAGCCAAGGAGTGGCTGAGAGAGAAGTATGTCGGAGTGGAGGAGGAGGAAGAGGAGGAGGAGAAGGAGGAGGTAAGTTTGCACGTTAAGGGCAGAGCAAGTTAGAGGAGAGAGGGAGAGCGGGGGGGTGAATATTGAGGAGTGCAGGATTAGGAAGGGGAGGTGGCAAAAGAGGATGTGTGTTGGGTTACAAGCTCCAAAAGCAGCAGAGATAACACACTGGTAACGTGTGGAGAGAAAAGGGAGAGAAGGTGGAGGAGGAGGGGCCGGCGCTGTGACCAGTCGCCCTCTCTCTCCTCTCCCTTTCCACCTTCCCTCCACACCTCTCCCCTACCAGGTAATTGAGCCACACGGGTAGCTGGTGTGTGTTAAAGACAGTCACAGAGGCCGTTTCTTTGAAATGCATTTCTTTCTTTTGTTTCCCGGCTTGTGACCGCATGTCTCTTTCTCTCTCTCGCTTGCTTGGCTGCCTCTGACTGCCGCTTTGTCAGGTGATAGAGCCGCACGGTCTACCTGTGACAGTGGAGACATTCACAGAGTGGCGAGATCGGTTTGAAGCCGAGATTGCCCTGGAGAAGGCTAAGTAAGAATAGCTGTTAGAATTAATTGCAGTCAATTGCATTCAACCGCAGTCAACAGCATCAAACCACAGTCATTAGCAGTCAATAGGGGTCACTTTCAGTGACAGTGGAGACATTCACGTAGTGGCGCGATCGGTTCGAGGCAGAGATTGCCCTGGAGAAGGCCAAGTGAGAGATTATTGTTAGAGTCAATTGAAGTCAATTGCAGTCACTTGCATTCAACCGCAGTCAATAGCATCAAACCACAGTCATTAGCGGTCAATTGGGGTCACTTTAAGTGACAGTGGAGACATTCACAGAGTGGCGTGATCGGTTTGAGGCAGAGATAGCCCTGGAGAAGGCCAAGTGAGACCTCCTGCTGTGAGAGTCGATTGCGGTCAATCACAGTCAAAATCAGTCAACTGCTTTCATTCGTAAAATATCGCAGTCACCAACATTCAGTGCAGTCAATTGTGGTCAACTGCAGTCAACAGCAGTCAGCAGCAGTCGAAAGCAGCAGCACTTCACATCACAGCAGCCATTGGAGATAGTGATGGAACTCGAGAAGAGCATGTGGGTCATTCTGCAAAAAATGTCGTTCTTTACTTTGAATGCTGCCCTTTCCTTGCACCCCACTTGTGGCCACTGTCCTCCCCTCACAATTTCCATCCCCTTTAACTCCCACTGCCACCTAAATAGGTTGCTGTCAGATGCAGCACTCGCAGCATCCAAGGAGAAGCGGCTTACAGGCAGACAGTGGTTCGTGCAGGTGAGCGTGGTTTCTGGTTCGTTCAGGTGAGCATGGTTTGTTATTCATGGAAGTGAGGCGAGCATTGTTCGTTTCTGGTTAGGTGAGGGAGAGTGGTGGCCGCTACTGTTCAGGTCAGAGTGGTGTGCGTTACCGTGTAGGTACAAAGGGCGTTGGCTGAATCTCACCTTCTCCCAAAATCTTTGGGTGGCTTGCTTGTGTGTGCAGAAAGCAAGCAAGGGAATTGTGGTGGATGAGGAGGAGGCGGAGGAGGAAGAGGAAGAGGAGATCGATTTTGATGACGATGATTTTGATGAAGGTGAGAGGGATGGGGGGAGGGGTGAGGGAATGGGGGTTTAGAGGGTTCAGGGGTTTATGCAATGGCAGAGGAGGAAGAGGATGAGGAGATCGATTTTTATGATGAAGATTTCGACGAAGGTGAGAAGGATGGGGGTTTAGAGGGTTCAGGGGTTTATGCAATGGTGGAGGAGGAAGAGGACGAGGAGATCCATTTTGATGACGATGATTTTGATGAAGGTGAGAGGGATGGGGGGAGGGGTGAGAGGGTAAGGGGTTAGAAGGTTCAGGCCTGCGGTGACAGAGGAAGAGGACTTAAGTTTCGGCAATGTAGATGGCTAGAAGGATGGAGGGTGGGGAGTCAGGGTGGGGGAGGGGTGGGTTTTGAGGGGATCGGGCAGGGCATGTGGAATGGGGGAAGAAAGTATGTGTTAGGCGTGGGCAGAGAAAGGTTAGTGGAGGGAGAGAGGAGGTTGACTGGATGGTAGGCACATTGGAGGAGGTTGACTAGAGATAGTTGGCTGTTTTGCACTTCTCTCTACTTCTAGTCATGTATCTGTGCGTGGGTGGTGGTGTTGTGTACATGGTATGTAGTGCATACCATGTTTCTTGGTGCATCGCACATGGTGTGATGGTTAACGTGTGTACATGGTATGTGGTACATTGTACATGGTGTGTCACATGGCTGGGGATGTTGTGTGTGTGGATGGGTGCATGTTCATGTACGCACGTTCACAGCAGCTCGCAGACATGTGTTCAAAATTGTCCCTTCCTGTGTACATTCTTGGTGCATGCATGTATGGGAATGGGTGGATGGGTGCAGACATTGATGAGGACGACATGCTGGACCATTACCTTGCCGAAAAGAATCAAGCTTAGTGGGCTCCACTTTCCTATCTGGAATGAACTTCTGAAGGGCGAGCAAAGTTATTTTCCTATGAACAAAGTCGAGTGTCTGAAAAGCGGCATCAATTAATACTTCTAATGCCCACAGCTTGCTAATGTGACAGACACCTCCACTGATGGATGAAAGTTATCAAACAAAACCGTTCCAATTGCACAACACAGTTGAGTTGACATCTACCGGTATCATAGTATGGTATGTCCCTCTAAGAAACAAACTACATGACATGAAACGAATCAGCCATTGTTGCTAAATATGCAGCAGTATCAAACACGGTACATCTGCAAAGATGAGAACTGACGGAACCTCCAGACGCTTGATGCTTTGTGAGTTGAATGGAGGAGCTACAGCTTCGCTGGCTTAGGAAAAATGTCAGGAGTGAACTTTTGAGCAGCTTTCATACTTCCCTTTATCCGCATCTTCCCTCTGGCATCCATCACCAAGCAAAGAGCAAAATCACGTCAGGCTTTCGCATAGCCCATAAGACAAAACTGACCAAGGATGAAGCTGCTGGAGCTTACCTGATGAACGCCATTTGCGGATTTAACTTGCCAGTAGCGACAGAAACAAAGTCAGCATCAGTGAAAGAGAACATTGCGTCAGGTTTCCCTTCATACACGCCTGCATTAACGACACAACGGAGGTCAGGGAGGGAAATGGTGAGAGCTTCGAGGAGCATATGGCCAATGCCTCACCTGCCGTGACCTTCTTGGACTTCAAATCCACCGTAAACTTCTCCTCGTTAATTCCAATCTTCTGTAGCCGAAAACAGAAGAACGTTAGATTTCTAGTATCGCAATCACACGCGAACTCTGGGTAGATTCTTTCCGACCTTGGGAGAGATGTTGAACTGATAAACAAGTCCAATCTTATCCTTCAGGTCATCGCCTGCCGGGGTCTGCAGGTAAGCATTCATAAGCTCCAACAGCTCTGCAGACTTCAACTTTGAGATGGATGAAAGCTTGTCGCCGGAAGCCATGGCGATTTCCTGGAAAATCAATGTGACCACGGAAACGCGCCAAGTCTGCGAGAATTATTCGCTGGCGCGAGGACAGGTCGTGTCTGGACTAGGATTTCTCCCGAAGATAATGCTCAGTTATGAGTGCCGGGGAAGAAAGGGGTTGGTATCATTTTGTTGATGAATGATCATTTTGTTCGACGGAACTTCCAAGGCCAAGTCATGTGGTCCCTGACTGATGTCACACTCCAAATGATCTGACCCATCTGACCCAACCTCGAACCGGACCAGCCTCTGACTAGGACGTGGTCAATGTTCCTCCCCAGCATGTCAGGGAATGTACTGTTCTCCCAAAACAACAGAGCGAGAAATAACATACACAAGATGCCCAGCCCCTGCACGCGAATTCGCTCTTTCCAAGATGGAAACTCTGCACCCGTGTATTAGGGTACTAAGCAGTTGCACCCCATTTATAAGCACCTCGAGCAATACGAACCATAAAAACCGAAGTTTGACAGAAGAGACCCATGTCAAACGGTCAACAGCGAGTTACAAAATCTTTTAAAAAGGAATTGACGAAAGCTTAGCGAAATGCAAGAATCACTTAAGAGCCCTCTTAGCAAAGCAACTCTGGGTTAGTCAAACGGGCATCGCGTGTACTGTCTGAAACAACTTTTGTGGACGCGCAGCGAAATTGAAACCCAACCATGTCTACGAAATTTTATGAGATGCGCACTGGGTCCGTGGCAAAACTCTCGAAACAAATTACGTACCACCGTGATGAACCACGCATCAAAATTCGGGTCGATCCTCGAGGCACGTCCAGCTGCTCCCCAGGATTGACTTCCAGCGTGTTCCCAGTCCCCCCCTCCCCTCCCCTCGCCCTGTTTTCTAGATAACTCCATTCATGCTTCTGCACCAGCAGTAGTCGTTTTTATTCTCCTCATTCCACGCAATGGCGATGGCCGCCGCTTCGGTCGACGCCGTTCGCTTCGCGGCCGGTTGTCCGTTTATTGCGCGCCGATCAGACGTGGCTGCTAAGCGGAGCCTGAGCCTTCTAGCGCCGTTGGTGAGCGACTCAAAGGATTTTTCGGGCCAACAGCCACAACACGTCATGGCATATGCCCAGCCGCTAGATAGCTCGGTACAGTAGGATAGACATCGGTTTTGGTGTGGTTGCGCTGCATGAACGGAGATCGCCGTAGGCGCCGCGAGAGAGCCTATTTGTTTTAACGTTAATTCGATAAGAGCTCATCGCAGCTTCTATATCCGCGTCGGTTGCAAGCTTGGTGTTTCCTGCACGCCGCGCATCTACTCTCAAGCGTTTTCTTTTTCTTCTTCCCTCTTTCTTCTTCTTACTTATCTAATTCGTCGTGGTCTGTAGTCCTGGTATCTCGTCCTGAGCATCCTTTCACACATACGGCGTTACTAACTTCCCACGCGTGTGCTCCACATTGGCTCCTAAACGCCGCAATACTTCCTCGCCGTTCCCTCCTCCTGCATTGCTAGCATTTCCGCAGGCCTTCGGTCTCATGCTTTCATTTTCCCTGGCCTTTACTCTCCCACGTGACAGTTTCGAACACGCCTACGCGTTTCCCCATCCTCGGATCTTACCCTCTTAGACTTACCCCGTCACGTCCCCGCGATCCTTCTTCTCTTTCCCTCTCCCACCCCGCTTCCCCTCTCCCTCCCTCTTTCTCCCCCACACTCCCCTCTCCTTCACCCCCCTTCCCCACCTCGCCCCGGTTCCTCCGTTTCCGCTGCAGCCGCGCATTGCACGCTCCTATCGCCGTGATCCGCGGATCGCGGTGCGAGCCACTGGCGAATCGCCTCCGCCTGCTCCCAGCGACAGGGAGTCAGGACCAAGCGACGATGACGTCAGCATTCGCTCGTCTCCATCGTTGTCCACGTCAGCGCCAAGCAGCAGCAGCAGCAGCAGCAGCAGCAGTGTGCCTTATGTGCCGCTACTTGGTCTGTCTTTAGTTGGAGCAGCAGAAACACTGTACCTCTCTTTTGAGAAGCTGGCGGGGGGGCAGGTGGCTTGTCCCATTAACGAGTCATGCACTGACGTGCTCAACAGCCCATACGCCTCCCTCTTCGGTACGTCAGTTGGGCCTTATGTGTGTATCCTCTTCCTGCACATTTTATAGCGACCTCAACAACCCCTCTCACTCTTCTGTCATCCACCCTCCTGCCTCTCTCCCGCTCCTCCATTTTCCCCCCTCCTGCTTGCCCCCATCCTGTGTTTTCCCCTCTCCCCGTTCTCCATGCAGTTTTTCGTCACCCTAGTAGTCCTGTATACACCAACTCCCAGTGCTCTCTATTATGCAGCTCACACACACCACCACGCCCTCTCCGTTTGCACCTTCCCCCCCCAATTCCCCACCTCCTCCTCCCTTCCCCCACTCCATCCAACCCTATGCATCTCACTGCCTTGTTCTGAGACGTCCCTAAACTGCAGGCACCTTTCTTCCTCTCTATCTTTAGATTTTACAGCCCTCTCCCACCTCCTCATCGCATTCGTTTCTAATCCATTTCTTCCAACCCCCTCCCGTCCCCACAGGCATCCCCCTCCCAGTCTTCGGCTTTGCTGCCTACTCCACTGTCGCCCTCCTCACCCACCTCTCCCGGCCCTCCTCTCCTCAAACCCCTCTCGAGGCCTCCACTCTCTCCTCCACTGCACGCTGGCTGCTGCTCTCTCTCACGGCTGCCATGACCACCACCAGCGGCTATCTCATGTTCATCCTCGCTACTGAGCTGGACGGCGCGTTTTGTCTCTATTGCGTCACCTCAGCTACTCTGTCCACGTTGCTGTTTGCCCTCACAGTGAAGGTGGGTCTATTATTGAAAACGTGAATAGGGCTGTTCAGGTAGGCCTTTTACTGTCCTATAAAGCCCTCACCCTTCATTCTCAATTGGTCACGTGATTTGTCAAAAGTGTGTATGCCACATCGACTGCAGATCCAGGTTGAAAGTCTTCATTGCAATCCTTAAACCGCCAATAAATTTCCCCTTCTGTTTGCTCACATGCCTCCTCTTTGCTTGTCTTTCTGTGCCTCCATCCCTCCTGCACCGCCCCTCCCTCCCATGCCCTCCCCCTCCCCTTCCCCCACCAGTCCTTTTCATGGCGTGAACTACAGCAGGCGCTGCTGCCCCAGCTAGCCCTGGTTACAGCAACTGCCGTGGTTCTCTCCCTCTCTTTGATTTTCATGCCTCCTCCTTTCTGCTCTTCGTGTACCGCCCCTCCCTCCTGTGTCCCCCTTCCCCCACCAGTCATTCTCATGGCGTGAGTTGCAGCAGGCGCTGCTGCCCCAGCTAGCCCTGGTGACGGCAACTGCCGTGGCTCTCTCCCTCTCCTTTGCTGATGTCAGGTCCGCCTATGCTCGGTGGGTCTTTTGAGTGTGGCATGGCCTCCATGGGTCTCTATTCACCCTGCTCCGTTTTGCCTGTCATTTCTTGGCTTGCAACTTGTACGTCTTCAAAGCATATCAGCACTTCTACCCGTCGTCTTGTGATTGGCCAATAATCCTGACCTCCTCTTCCCTTCTCTCGTCCTCTCTCCCTTCCAAAAAAGGTATTTCCTGTGTTTTCGTCTCGTCATCTTGTCGTGAAATTATATATCACATGCTCAGGGACACCGAGATTGACCTTGCTGCTATTGAACCAGAGGTCACCACTGTTTCGACACCTGTGCGCGTGCAATTGGCCAAGCATCTGTCGAATGTTGGGGCGAAGCTGTATGGTGCCTTTTGGTGCTCGCACTGCTACGAGCAGAAGCAGGTGGGTGATTGCATTTGACTCGTTTTCGTAAACATGAATGTATGGTTGTGTAAACAAGCTGAGGAGATGATTATTCTTGTCCTTGGTGTCCTGTGAGTTGCAGGCGTTTGGAGCAGAAGCTTCCAAGTACCTTCCGTACGTGGAGTGCTATCCAGAGGGCTTCAGGGCAGGAGTGAAGCTTGCTAAAACTTGCCAGGATGCCAATATTGAAGGCTTCCCAACATGGATCATTGATGGCCAGGTGAGCTCTCTTTATTGACACACACACGTTGACTCGATTGTTCAAATGTTTGGCTAGGGCTTGAAGGAGCAGCGTTACCTGCTTGTGGTTATAGGTGGCTTTGCATGCATAATGGCATCCGTCTGTTGGTTCTCCCAGCTTCCACTTTTCTGGTCATGTCTCTGAAATTGTGTTCCATCTTGCCCTGCATCCTCCTATGGGCAATTCTGCAGGTTTTGCCAGGAGAACAAGACCTTGATGAACTTGCTCGCCTTACAGGTTTTGAGGGGAAGTGAATCAATGCGGTTCATTAGCGTTAGGAGGTGAAAAGGGTTTTGAAGAGTCTCTTGTCTGTAGCCAGGCCACGTTAATGTATGCAGTTGCAAATAATATGTGGGGTACGGTATTGATTGGTTGTGAACGTAACTTCATGAGCAGCAGGCGTGTTGTGAGAGCAACAACAGAGCTAGAAGAGCAGCAGACGTTGGTGGCATTCATGCTTTGACTCTTCCCAAATACTAGTGGGATGTTGATCATTGTTCTTCACAGCCATCTGCCATTTAATTTTGCCATGTCCTTCCGTGGTTGTGCCTTTTTCACTTCCACCATCTTCCCACAGATCTCGTGCATTCTGCAAGAAAGTGACAGCGGGTTGCACAATGGTACATAATCACAGCCCAGACAACGATTAACCATGCGTGACATACACTCACCTTCCAATAAGGAGCACATCCTCGGCTGCCTGCTCTGCCTGGAAAGTAACAAACCCAAATCCCCTGCATCGGGCCTTCTCATCTTCGTCGCGAAGCACTTGAATCTCTGTGATCTGGCATCATGCATGAACATGTTGTGATGCATGAACTCACGATCACAGATGTAGGTGCTACAACATACGGTTCCGAATCGAGCGAAGTAGGAGGTAAACTCTTCGTCAGTCATGGAAGGCGGAAGACCTCCAACAAAAAGCTTTCGCGTTCTTGGGCCGTTTTCCTGTTCACATAATCAACTGCTTTTCTTAATC